TACCATAAATAGGTATTCCTTTTAGGAAAAGATTTTGGATTGACTAATCATTTTCTTGTAGGAAAAGGTTTAGGACTCTATAAATAGAGGAATGTTCATTTTAACTTAATCAGCAATCATAATGTAGTCTTAAGGGCTTTGAAAGTTTGGTTAGGGGAGAAATTTATGGGTCACAAGCTTGATACGTTATCACATGTGTGAACCTCTCATGTATTCCGAGTGAATTAGTTGAGGGTGTTTCTCTCTGTATTTTGTACTCTCATATTTATTGTTGATTGTTCATCTCCTTTATGGAGGTAGGTCGATTAACTGAACCACGTTAAATCTTTATGTCTTTTGGTGTATTTCTTGTTTGTCTTCTTACTCGTGGTCTTTCAAGATTTGTTTTGCTAGCTTCCGCGTTTGAACCTGCTTATTTACGATCCTAACGAGTGATATTAGAGCCAGATTCAATGATGGAGTCAGGTTAAATGATTCAATAATCAATGAATGAACCATGTTAGAAGAGATGTTTATCTTGGCGGGTGTCATTCTAGCCGCAACCTTTTTTGACAGTAATGAAGATTTTTGTCGAGAAATTGTTTCAGAGAGATTCTCTGTGTTGAGATAAAATTTTTGCAAAGGATATTACGGAAAGGAGAAGCAAGTTGTTGAATTTTAAATAAAGAAGGTTGTATGAGCAAGATGGTTTTGAAATTGAAAGGGATGGGGTGTATTGTTAAAAAAAATAGTGTGTGTTTGCATGATTGTATCCCTGACGTAGGGTTTGATAGGCTATCGAAAATGCATGTTAAAACTAATAAAATTCATGCCCTACGAATGATGGGATGCTGGTAAATGTTTAGTAAACTTAGGCTTCTAAGAATACTTCAATTTAGTATGATAGAGTATCAAATTTGGGCTGCAAAACAGTGTTCCCTGAATGTCAATACGAGACCCAACATTAAACCTATCCTTCAATAGACAAAACACTTCTAGATTCTTTTTAGAAGATCAGTAATTGTAATATACTTCATAATTTATCAAACACTTTACCATTACCAAAAATATATTAATAAAATCATGCATAGGGATCACAAATTTATTTTTTAAGGCTTTCAATTCTTATATTAATATCAAATGACTGAATTATCATATCACAATAAAATACAAGATATTTTATTAAAATCTTGTAATTCCACTCTATGATCCAACTCCAAAATCAACTACTATATGTTAGCTAACTCTCCATATTTGAATTACTGACGGTAATAAATTAAGTCAAACTTTCTAAAAAAAAAATCGTTTGATTAATTTAATTGTTATCTTTACGCTTAAATTAATTGTTGTGACAAATATATGTTTAATCCACCTACAAAATATTTACATGACAACTTATGAGCAATCATAACCGGAAATCTTTTATCTCAAGACCAAGATATGGCTTTATCAATAAATTATTATTTTACAAATGTGATTTATAATTATTAAATTCATTAGAAATATTTTGACTCATCACAGAGTCTTACCTTTTAATAAATTAAAATTATAAAATAATTTACATGGATCATAATAGTTATATCAAACTTTAGAATATATGTGCGTGTAATGGACAAGAGATAGTATTTATTTATATTCAGAACCTAAACTTATATTTCAATTTGGTTCGTTCAATAAATACTAAATGCACTAGCACAAAAAATTGAAATTTTATAAACCATATTCAAGAACGAATTAGAATTAATCGTGTGTTGCATTCATCAAGATATTCTTGCCACTTCATCTTTAATAATGAACACTTTAAGTTGTGGTAGCGGTTTGATAAGAAAATCCATTTAAAAATCACATTACTGTAAAGGATCTGAAGTTAATGTATTTCAAAGTGAACTTAGACATTATTTCTCTTTGCATATGCTTCCATATGTTTGAGATATATTTAATCAATCTCGACTTATTCGCAATCAGATGTGAGTATAGTTGTTGTATGCATATGTTGTCACGATCAAAAACCTCAAATCATGTTGACACCTACTCAAAGTGGAAGTGATTGAAGATTAAAATTTTACATTACAACTAAACAACATATTCTGAATATTTATAGAAGAACACTAACATGACACACTTGTGACACAATCTGCATTCTCACTACTTGAGCGTGAATCTCACCCTAATTAATAATATAATTACATTTTTTCAATCTATTTAGTAAAAATTGGTTAAAATCTTGACTCATTCACATTTTAATTATCACCCACTCCATTTAACCCTAAACTCATTGTAGATTTTCACTTCACTCTCTCTCTCATTGATGGTCAAAACCCTAAAGCATTTCAATTGTCACAATAGATTTGTTTTTCGGGGATAATTTCTTGAATTATGGAGTCAAAAAGAAGAACTGAGGGCTCTGTTAATTGTTTCTTGAGTTTAATGCAAATTATGGTTTAAAAATATTCATTTTATGGAGTAGTGATTTTTTTTATAAGATCATCTTTGTAGTTTATAGTGATTTGTTGTTATTTTCTTCTTGTGTGTCTATTATTCATATGTGTGTATCTACTGTTAGTTTAGGATTAATTTAAGTTTGAATGAATCTTCGCTGATTTAGTTTTGAAATTTGTTTTCAATTGCACTGTCAAGATTTACAAATTAGTTGATTTCACTACTTTTAAATAAAAGACAACGATGAAATTGACGCTAGTAAATCTAGATGATAATTTCTTTGAGGATGGAGATTTTTTTTTGTTGTTGTAAATGGAATGTTTTTCAACATCTATAAAAATGGAGGTTTCGGAAAATAAGGAAAGTGGGGCTTGTAATGAAGAAGAAAATCCAAATTGTCAATGTCACATGGCAGTTTTACACTGGTTCTGGGCTGTATTTTTACTCCTCCGCGCACCTATTAAATGTGAGAACACAGTCATCGTTAAAATGGGTCAAAAAGTGTTTATTTATTGTGAATGAAATAGTTTCATGGGGTAAATAGGACGCCCACAAATTTTATTGTCTCTTCGAAAATTTGGGACAAATTTAAATGTCATTTTATGTCTTACACAATTATATAATGGAGCTAATAATTCTTCTTTTGGATACAACTTTTTTTATGCTGGTAGAAATTTATTTTAAAGTGGATTAGTTTGTAAGAATTTTCGTGGAAGATAATAATGCTGGAAACAGAAGAGAGAGTAGAAAGATTTGGGGTAAAAGAACATAGAGAGAGGAAATAGAGTTGTGGGGTGTTTTTTCATTTTATGTTTTTTACTTTTAACTCAATCGGAGTTATATTGGCCTGATTTTTTTTTGGGAGGGGGGGGGGGTTGGAAAATTATTACATTACGATAATAAAATAATTATAGTTATATTAGGAAACATTATATTTGCTAAAACAATAACATTATGACATCTTTAGTGATTATGTTTAAGTGTGGATATTTTTGTTAATTATGATAGGGATTTTGATTAGTTCGATAAACTTTCCAAAAATGAGTAAGAGTAAAATAAGAAAGTTAGAATATGGGCCTTTGCCCGATTCTCAAATTTGGTGGGCCTTTTGGCCCATTTTTGCCTGGACCAGAAAATCTGCATATACAATGAGTGTATACTCTCGTATATAGGCTATATTTTAGCCAAATTATATATATATATATATATATATATATATATATATATATATATATATATATATATATTGGGCTATATACGAATGTATGCAACCCACTTCAACTTCCAGCACCTGTATTTTGATTTTTTGACCTGTATATCAATAATTCCGTGGTGTGTTTGATAATTGAGTTGTTTTGGTCCTTCCGGCCACTTTAGTTTCAATTTCCTTCCCTATTTGCTAATTTGAACTTGTCTCGTTATTTTGGTTGACAAAATAAGAGTTAAAATGGGGACGTAGCCCAACAAAGAGATGCAAGGATAGGAGGTGAGAGTCCAAAATAGACTCGGGGCAAGATTAACAGGCATATAAAATGAGAGTAAGAGTTAGAACCCAAAATAATGAAAGTGATAGTGCACCTAAGATAAATTATCACGACAACATCCGAACTAATACACAGTAACTAACTTTATTTATCTAACAACATAGATTTAGGTAAAGTAGTACACATTCTGAAGATGCTAAAATACAAGTCATGCTAATCATAAGATAATGACCAATTAAGCAATTGTTTTAACTTTTTTTTTAAATCCACAACAACTAAGAAAAGTCTGCAGCAAATATATGAACTAAGAAGAACTTTCACATATAGCCACTCAAAAAGTGTAATTACTCTCCATAGCTATTCTTTGATAATTTCAATTCGTAGCTACATAATTTAGAGAAGAGAGAGACGAGCGAGACTGGAGAGAGAGGAGAGAGGAATTTTTGACCAAAATGATCTATTTTAAAAATCAATTTACCTAATTAATACGTTTTTATTTTTTTTACAAAAATAGTATAAACGTACTTTATGGTAACGTTTTAGGCTTTATTTGATTTTTAAAAAAATTAACGCCGTTAAATTAATAAACGTTACTGGCAGTAACGATTTTATACTAAATTAATAAACGTTAACGATTTTATACTAAAATGTGAGCCCCACCCCTTTCACTGATTCACTTTCATTTATTACCTTTAATAATGTTATTTGGTACCCCTTCACCCCTTTCACCCCTTTCAAGTTTTTAACCCCTTTCACCCTAAAAAAAATGGCAGCCGCCTCATTTTAAACTTCCAAAAGTTCCATTTTCGATCGGTTTGGACGAAGAGGAGGCGTTAAAGAACAAAAATACAGGAAGATAATGAATGGATAAAAACCTCATTTCGTGGATAAACGGTAGCTGTAGTTTTTCCAAATTAATTTTGGGGATTTCTTGTTATATCGAGTTTCACGAAAAATTACGGCTATCAATCTTCTGGAAATCTTGGAATCAAGTTAATTTCCTGTGTTAAAGCCTTGAGGTATGTTTTTTTCCCTTACAAACTAGTAGATGGAATGCTTGAATTTTAGAATTTCGTATCTTCTCGTATTTATATCGTTTTGGTTATATAGAATAATCACTCAAGAAATTCTAATATGCATATTCTGTTTTTATTTTGAATTCATGCATCTTGTTGATGAAAAGAGAAACAATGAAAAGAAAAACAAAGAAAAAAAATGTTCACATGAAAATAGAAGGGAAGACTATATTTGGTTGACCTGCATATGCGCTTCTACTAAAATTGAGTTTATTTTTCAATATTTTAATAAAACATTTGGTATAGTACATTACTTTGATTTGGTTGTTATATTTTGGACTAACAATTATAATTAATATACTTTCATATGGAATTTTCAATTTAATAGATACATATATGACTGGTTATAGTGCATATCAATTGGATCTCGGTCCACTTGAACCATCGGTACTAACTCAACAACTTACCCATAGGTCACGGGATATATGGAATGGAAGTGTTAATATGATTTTAAATACGAGGAGGTGTGATGGAAAATTTTGGGACCTCGTAAAGAAATATCCTATTCATCCACGAGTCTTAGAAATGATTGAATTATCAAGACTATATGGTGTTTATAGATCAAATCGACCTTCTATTGATCGTAGCTTGATCACTTCACTAGTAGAGAGATGTCGTCCCGAGACTCATACATTTCACTTTAGAACGGGTGAGGCGACAATCACCTTGCAAGATGTAGAAGTGTTGTATGGATTACCTGTGAATGGTGATCCAGTACTTGGTGATGAGTCGATAAGGACCATAGGGGATTGGCAAAATATTTGTCAAAGATTGTTAGGTTTTATTCCACGTCCTCAAGACTTCAACCGTAGTAGCCTCAAGGTAACTGCACTTAATGCGCATATGCTCGAGCAACTACAGTTACATGACTTGACAACACAAGAAATGATCGATCAAATGGCTAGATGTTACATGTTTTGGATGATTGCTTGTATGATGATGGCAGATACATCTGGCAACTATCTAAAGCTTATGTACCTTCCTATGCTCGAGGATCTCAATGTAGTTAGCTCTTATAGTTCGGGTAGTGCGACCTTAGCGTGCTTGTATCGCTTTCTCTATAGGGCCTCACAGAGTAACCAAAATGAGATAGCTGGCTTTCTACCACTTCTTCAGGTATACTTAATAATTACATCAATTCTTTATAAATATTTCGTCTAGTTTATAATATCATAATTATATATTTATATATTATGTTTAGATTTGGGCATGGGAGAGAGTTACTGTCCTCAGACCTCAGGTAATAGCACAAAGAGACATCGAAAATAATTTTCTTGCTTGTTTACCTAGGGGTCCATGTGCTACTAGATGGTTTGCACATTTTAGTTGGACTGATACCACTAAGCATGTGTTGAAACTTTTTAGGGATTCACTTGATTCCATGACAGAGGATCAGGTATGATGTTATACTGTTTTTCTTTAAAAAATTATGTATATATTGTAGTTGAAACTCATGTATTTTTCTTTATGTAGTTTATTTGGGAACCATATTCGGATGACTTAATTGAGAGTCTTCCTATATAGCGTGTAAGAGCTCCAATTTATTGTTGGGATATCGTTGAGGTTCACTTGCCTGATCGAGTTATGAGACAATTTGGATTAAACCAAACGATACCAACTCCATTTCTATTTGACACCACACATTTTCACCATGATCGAAGGGGAAGACCAAATACAAATTGGAAGTTGGAGCATGCACAATGGTTGCCTCTTTGGAACCAACGACTTCAATATGTTTGTGATGCTCCGGTCAATCGTGAACAACTTCGATATGACGACCCTTACCTTATTTGGTTTAGACGCATTACTCGTATTGTTATTGGTAATCCTACTCAGCGTCCTCAACAACAAGAAGGTTCTGTGCCCAATTTAATGGCGTATGAAACAATGGTATGCATTATATTTAGCGTGTTTGTGATTTATCTTTTGAGGATAATATTGCTTCTTCTCGAAAATTGTGACTAGGAAAATTGTTACCTATGTTTTTTCTTACAAAATATAAAATAAGTGCTTTATTGATCTTTGTTTGAGCATCTGTTAGAAAAAAGAATGGAAAATGTTTGTAAGAAAAAAAATTGATCTTTGTGTAGGTGAGTCATATTCATTCCACGGTTGATAGAGCAAAAGCCCTTGGTGATCAACCATCAATGGAGGATTTATACATATTTCGTGCAATGGTCCAAAATGAAGGAGAAAAGTGCTTGACATATGTGCACGAGGCTGCTAGGATTAATGTACAAGCCGATTATAGAAGACATGAGGTATATGATGATCATTTACATCATCCGGTTCGTAGGCGAGGAAAAGGTGGTGTTGCCGGTAGGAGGGCTCGTGCTGTTGAGAAAGGGTGAGCGCCTATTGAAATGGATGAATTAGTCTCCGAAGATGATCACACAACTTGTGATTTTGGTTCCATTTCAAGGGGCCAAACTCAAGAATTCACTCCCGGGACATCAGGTATGACATATCAACCAACAAATACTGATATTGTTCCATACACAACATCACAAATATTAAGGAATTCTAGTCTTTCATCACTTGAGAATGTATTTGGTGGTTCTCGACCTCAACATTTTGAGAATGCCCCCAACTTTAATTCATCACCTGGGCTGCCAATGTCCATTGAGACCCCCGGTGTTGTTAATCATTTAGAGGACTCCAACGATGAAGTGGAGAATGCAAACGAATGTGGTGAACCATCAGTGAAGGAGAAGCGTAGGATTTTTCCTCAGCGTTGTGGGACTGGTACTATTAACATCTTTATTTTATTTTTTGACTATAAATGCTCCTCTGTTTAGTCGAACAACTGAAAATTATTCTTGTTTGTCAGGGAGTCACTATCTTTACCAGCATGGCAAAAAAAAAGCAACGACAAACAAAGAACTGTAATTGAGAGGTTTCAGGTATTCAAATTTGGTACTCCTTCTTCTTCTTTGTCGGTCTTAGGTAAAATTGGGTATGATATTTTCTGTGTTGGAACAGAACAAGTCATGACATTAATGGATCATTTTCATATGCTTTTTATAGAACAAAAAATGCTATCGCTTACCAACCAAACCAGAATCAAAGGAAAAATGACACCTAGACTATAACTTAATAGTAAGAGTAAGGGATTAGAGGGATATTATGTATCCATAGCAATTAATGAAGAGTTGCAGCAAGTGCTGCTACACTAAAATGGCATTTATCTTTTGATTTTCAATTTAATTGTTCCTATTTAAATATTGTGCAATTCTTATGAGTTGGCGATATTGTGAGGAGTAGTATATAACATATTTATTACTACGTTTTAGTACAATTATTAAGTCGTATAGTTTGAATACTTTTTGTTGTCTATATGATAATACGTCATTGGTTGTTTCTTCCGTGTTTTGGTAAAACAGAGTTGTTCTAGCAAATTGTTGCTTTTTGTGTGCTAGCAAATATAAGTTTTAGAACCATTGTACTTCATCCTTTTCTTCATATACCGTCCTTGCTAGCTGTTCAATAGATCCTTAATGAAGATTTCAAGTCCTAAAAATATTGAATTCCCATGTCTAACAAGCAGTTAACAGATGAAGATGTCCAAAGCTGGAGGAATATTTGACTTTATGGTTTCACTGTCAGTCCCCACTTTCTTGTAAGATGTTTAGATTCTCTCGATAGATATTGGAAAATTGATTTGCGTCGAGTTTTAGCCTTTTGGAAAACTGAAATTCTTAAGTTTTCCAAGTTATTTGAATGCTTGCGTCGTTAGCCTTTTAGATATCTTGGAAATTGTTGCTTTTTGTGTGCTGTACATCAAGTTTCCATCCATACTGCTGCTGTACTCGACGTGCTAGCTTGTGCAACTGAGTTTGTGCTTTCAGTATAGATTGATTCTTGGTGAATATAACTCATCAAAGTTTTCTTAATCATTTTTTCTTAGGTTGATGCAGCTTGTTGTAATTCTGGATAACCCTTGGTGAATAGTAGAGATTTTTTGTGAAGAATGAAGCTACTAGTTATTATTTTGTAAAGCAACATGTTCTATATATATGGGTGATTTCAGGGAGCATAACAAATCTCCTGCTGAGGTGAAGAAACAAATTTGTGGCTTTTATACATCAACTTCAAGGATGTTTTGCCTCATTAGCATACATTCAGTGCTTATTTCCTACTTATGCTCCTGCTGGTTCTTTGCTTTCCTTCTTGTTATTCTTTTCCACTTCAGAAAGTGTGGTTAAAAGATAATGCCTGAAATCTTAGTATAGCATCTCTTATTGACATAAATAATAGGTAGCTCATATATGTATTCCGGGTAAATAGCAACTATCTCAGGTACCACAATGCTTTAATTGGTCATTTGGATTAGAAGCAAGTTACAGGGGAATTAGAAATGCATGGATGGCAATGTAGAGATTGTAATGTAGGGATTGAAATTCAAGGTTAAGTTTATAATACAAGAGCTGTAGTGGAAGGATTATTTACTCAATGGATGTTAGATTTGTTATACTAAAGTGCATATTAAAAAATATTTTTTAAATTCTTTTGACAAAATAAATATTGGATAACACGTGAAGGGTTATTTTTGTCATCTTGTAATTTTACTCCATATTATACTATCCCCGCATTCTTATCTTGCATAAAATAATATATCAATACCCGCATAACTTAAAGAGGATATCAGTTATGCGACAAGAGAAGTGGAAACAAAAATTGTACTATAAATATCCTAAATTTTATATGGAAAGAAAGAATGAAACAAAACATTATAATAACACTAAGTATAAGTGGAGATCACTTTCTCCACTACTCCCAACCAAACATCACCTAAGATCCTTCCGCCAACCATTGATGTACCTGAAATCTTGCTATGATGGTATATGCTCTTGAGATAAGGACTTATTAAAGCACCTTTGTAGAAAACACTTCAACAAGTTTAGCACTAATAATTGAAAGGAAATTAATATAAATGGATATTAACATTAATAATTTTCCTTTATTAGCAATCTGGAAAAATTCACATTACATTAGATAACATAAAGAAAATTAACACCATTAGACATTGACCCATAATTATTCACTTAAATTTAATTACGATTGGGACATTGACGCCTATCATGTCCTGTCTGCCTGCATAATCCACAAGCTCGCTCATACACTGTAGAACTACGATCCATTTCATTATGTATTCTAGTTGTCCTTGGCCGATTGGGACGACGATAGAATTCATTACTTGTCATTGTAAAACTTTGAGATGGCCAATATGACTCATGACCAATTGGTGAGAATGACCCAGAATATGTTGCAACAAAATTCTCTATTGTGAAATGCTCGCTAACAAAATTTCTAGCTAGACCTCCCATTCTATCAGTTACCTTCATGACATGTGAACACGGGAAGTGCAGATTAACCCATTTTCCACAATCACATTTTCTTTCATTTAGTGAAACACAATGAGGATTACCACCAGTACCATCAACTTGTATAGATCTAACCTCGTATACTCCTGTGGGTATATTCCAATCAAAAACAAAGTGCCTCTTTGAACTTTCATAATTCTTCTCCCACTTTATTTTGAACCTCCCGGTCCATAATTCATTTTGCTCTGCAAGTTGGTGTGCTATTTGAGACCTACGGGTATACCGTTCAATAGTTTGCTCCAATGAAAGTCTAATCATAGCAGTGACAGACAAACCTCATGCTTTTTTCAACACTCCATTGAATGACTCTGAAAGATTTGTTGTCAACACTCCCCATCTTTTTCCATCACCATGGCTAACAGTCCATTTATCCAAGGGAATTTCCATGAGGTATGCATATGCTTCGATATTTTCTTCTTTAATTTTCCACATCATGGACTCAAACTTCCTTACTTGATGGGCCGAAGCAGCCCTCCACATCAATATGCTAAGGTCCTTGTTTGGAAATTTAGATTGAAAGTTGCTCTTAAGATGTCTTATTCAAAACCGATGGAAGACTCGAGGCTCTTGAAATCGCCGCAACTCCTGCAAACTAGTCAAGATTCCTTTTGCCCTATCAGATATAACACATACATTTTGTCTACTTTTTATCACATGTGCACTCAAATTTCTAAAAAACCATTTCCATGCCTCTTTTGATTCTTGGTCTACAATAGCAAACGCTAAAGGGAGAATGTTATCATTTCCATCAATTCCAACAACAATTAATAATTTGATCTCATATTTTCCATAAATATGAGTTCCATCTACTGAAATAACTAGGCAACATGTTTGGAATCCATCAATGCATGGCTTGAAAGCCCAAAATACAATTTTAAAAGTTTTTACCTCCGATGAACTCATAGACTCTTCGTATTTCCATTCCACAATTGTTCCATGGTTAAAGTGTTGAAAAGCTGCAAAAAATTTAGGTAGGTCACTAAATGATTTCTCAAAGTCACCATATACCAATTCAAATGCGTGTTGACGTCCAAGCCATGCTTTCCTATATGTCACTTGGTGGCCAAAATTTTCATGAACCTTTGAAATGACATCTACCACCAAGAACTTAGGATTTTTTCTAATTTGATTTAGAAGTAGTGATGCAATAAAATTGGTATTTAGGTTGGCGTGACCGCTAGAAAGCCCCTCAGTCTCACATCTATGGTTTTCAACATATTTTCCTATCTTCCAAAGTTTATCTCCAACTTGTCGTCCTCGAAGAAACCACATGCAATCCAATAAATTATAAAACTTACATCTCACAACCCATAGACTTTTGGTAGATGTTACCACCTTGAACTCCTTATTTTTGTGTAAACTCCAAATCGTTACACCCATTTTCAACTTTTCTTTACTACTAAAAAGCATACCTTTTTTTAAATCTTTTTTTGCTTGCTCAGACCAAACGGAACAACATTCCATCTCAGATTCACATGTAGACATAAAAATGTCTTCCTCATTCTCTAATGTCTTGAAATAGGGTATGTCATGAGACACACCCTGATCCTGATTATGAAGATTTACACCATTTTGAGAAAAATCTCTAATATCATCGATATCTTCATCAGGTTCACTTTCATCACCATCTTTCGGATGTTCATCTTCCTCCGAACTTTCATCACTAATTTCAGCATTTACATCATTATATAGATCAACGTTGATATCAATATCTCTGTAAAAAAATATTAGTCAAATTCTAGCAAAATTATAAATATACAAGCTTGTTTTAAAAGCGATAATAAATATTCTAAAATATTATTTCTTCTATTTATAAGAGATAATTTGCGTATACTTACAATAAAAATTATCTTATTAAATTGTTAGACTAAAATTTAATAAAATAAAGATTTGTTGTTTACCTAGCCTCATATTCCATGTGACTATTATCAATATGCATTTGACTACTTGAGCCTTCACCAAATCATCGATGATCATGCATCAACAATTGTTTAAATGATGGTTGAACAATCGGTTCTACAAAATGAGCTTGGTTGATCGTGGTAAGGCCATAATTTTGAGCCAACAAATTCATGTGATAACCATGATGACCACTAACTTGAAATGCAACATTTTGGCCTGTCGATACAGTCTTTACATACACCTCCAAAACATTTATATCAATCTTATCCGCAAATTTTTGAGGTATGAAAAGAAATTGTAACAAAGATTGGTCATTCTCAATTTTAAACTCAATGAACCTTGTATTGTTACCTTGAATTGAACATGGATATTTTCCAGAAATATACATACGAATATTTTCACTATATGTTCCCATTTTCTCATGTAACAATCCAACCAATTCAACATAGGTAGTTGAAGTCGACATGCTAATAATCGTTCTAGCACATTCAGTATACCTAAATCCGTTCATATCCGTAAATATTTCTCCACCCCAATACAAAGCAACCATCACATTATGTTCAAAGCTCGTCATCTTAATCCTACACATAAAGATAAAATATTTTTTAAAACAATATTATTAAATTAGAAAGATAATTTTAAGGCTGTAATAAGAACATAACAAAGGATAAACTTCACTTATTTAATTCATACCTGATGAAATTTTCTGAATATTATTTTTAAAATGGACCATACAAGGAAAATTTTTGCTGAATTATATTTGAACATAAAAAAAATTTACAACAACATTTATTTATAGTCACTTTGGTGAGTTTGAAAAATTGAGGAATATGACTTTAACAGAGTGTTGTAATTGGTAGCAACATTTTTAAGATAAAACGTTACTGTGAGTAACGTTTTATAGCTAAATATATTCTAAATTTGCAGAAGTCGAAGGCCCGTGATTGGATTCTTAAGAAACGAGACTCAAAGTAACATTTTTAGTGTAGTAATGTTTTACAGTTGAATGATTTGACTCCGCCTTTTCAGCATTGGAGTCAATGGCCCGTGATTGGATTCTCCAAAAACGTACTCTTGAGTAACGTTTTAGGTATAAAACGTTACTCACAGTTACGTTTATGCGTTTAACGTCTCCAACCCGTTAACTTTTTGTCCGTTGAATTTTTATAATGAAAATATCCTAAAACGTTACCATAAAGTACGTTTATACTAGTTTTGTGAAAAAAGTTAAAAACATATTATTTTGGTGAATTGGTTTTAAAAATAGCTCATTTTGGTCAAAACTTCGAGGAGAGAGGTGAGCTACAGAGGGCAAAGAGTGGGAGATATTTGAATCGAATATATACATTGATTAGATAATTGTATATTATATATATGTATTTGGATATATGACAAGCAAGATTTGGAGAAGGAGGAGAGAGGCGAGCTAGATTGGGAGTGGGTGGAGAGAGGCTAGTGGGATCGGGCAAGAGGCAAGTGGAAGAGGGCAGAGAGTGGGAGAGATATAAACTGTATATGTATATCGATTAGAATAATTTTCTATTATACCTATGCATTTGTATATATGGCAAGCGGGATTGGGAGAGAGAGAGAGGCAAGCTAGAGAGGGCAAGGAGTGGGAGAGAAGTGAGTTTTATATGTATATTAGTTATAAAATTGTTTATTATACATATGCATTTGTCTATTTTGGTGAGTTATACATATACAAATGTGAGTAATTATATAAACTCAAAGTCATCCCACATAATTAATGTATAATGTTAGTCACGACTGGTAATTGTAGAAAACTATAGCTATGATAAGTTATTAAGCAGTATAAATTTACTTAACTGCGTAATTTTTCCATAAAATAATGGAATAAAACTAAGCCTCCTTTTTGAAAAATGAACAAACCAGTAAAGAAAATTAACGAAGTATGAAAAATTTTGCAGAGTTTCTGGGTATGAATGGGAATGAAATCTTAACATCTCTGCAACTTTAAATAAAAGGGATGAGAGAAGGGGTAGACATACTTCAAAATTTGTTGGGTATGTAGCAAGAATTGATGGGAAATAGAGGGAAGGAGAGGAATTTGAAAGGTTTAGAACTTGAAAGGTTGGGAACTTGAAAAGTCCTCTAATGCTTTATTGAAAAAGGCAATAGTCCCTCATCGGTAATGGAAAGGAAAATAGGAGAGTTTAAATAA